CTACAACCCTTTTCTTCCTATTCCACCCCTTCCCCACCCCCTGTCCCTGACAAGTCTATACATAAATTGTTCCCAGCTCTTCTTATGTACATAGACCCAGCACATCTGGGTAGAGTTATCATCAAGGCAGTCATATTCCTGAGCAGTAATGATCATCAGCCAAATGAGCAGTTGGGGACTGTATTTTCATGAGACTTCTACTTACTACCAATAATTGTATGCAGAAAACTTTCTCCCGGACCTCTCCTGAAAACCAGTTTTCAGAGAAGACAGACATATCAGGTTATGATGTGTTGTGAACACATATTACAAACAAAATATGAAATCAAGTATGCCTATGTGCCTATTGTTCCTGTCTCCAAATGAATCTCCTGTTTGAGCCTTTCTTCTCTTGCCCAGTAAATTCCTCCAGATAATGCTGGTTGCACCTATAATGCACCGAAAGGTCAGCCTTAGAGTTATCTGTAAGCCTACTTTGCTGCCTCCTACCTTTTTTTCACCTGTTCATCTGGTCGATGCTCCATCACCCCAGTTATATGTGGACTTGGGAGAGCCAGCGATGCTCAGGGGGCAAGCTCTGGTGTGCCAGCTGCAGGTTTGCAGTCTGGCCCTGAGGGCATCTCGGAGTGGGTCGTCGCACGGCAGCACCCACAGAGCCAGGTCCTGTAGGACGGATGGTCCTTTCCTGCAGGCAGGATTTTCAAACACTGGAAAGCTCTAATTCATTGTATAGAGAGGGGACTCTGATGTTTTCTAGAGATTATCTGGCTAGGCCAATCACCTCTAAGAAAGGACTTAACTTTTTCTTTGCTGTGACAAATATAATTGGTCTGCCTCCTAATCCAGCTGTGGACAAGATGTTGACAGTTCTACTTCTTATCAAAAAACTCAAATATTCTTTTTCCCATTATAGTTCAAGCCCTTTTTATCATGTTCATGGCCCCAAAGCATTAAATAATTACTCACCCCACTTCCTTTGTTTGCAGTATCTCTGCATCAGCTAATACAGCTTGTAGCATTTTTAGGAGAGTCAACAAAAAAGCAGCAAGGTTGCCTGATGCTTGTGAAGCTTTTGGTACAAATATGTAGGTCAAACGAGACCTTTTATGAAGCCCTATCCACAGCAATCTAATGTCTTTACATTTAATTCCTCACATTTACTTCCAGCAGCTGTTGCTTTTTTATTACTGAAGATCTATGATACTAACAACCCTCCTCTTTCCTTTTAGATTTCTACTAATGACCACCAGTAATGGGATTTTGCTGGAAATTAACCTGCTTGTAATTTATGTTTTCACATATGAAATGTATTTCATGTATAAAAGACAGGGACTTAGTCTTTTCTTCATCTTAAGCCCTTTTCCCCCAGGAACCAGACTAAAACTAAAAACTAAAATGAGTCTTACAGAAGACCAGTTCTTTTAAGAAGAGATTTTTTTTTTCTTTTATGCCAAGTCATTGCGTTTCTCTGATAGGTAATGTAATGAATTCGATCTGTTTCTCTCCTTCCATCAAGGCTTTATTAGGTTAGAAAAGGACTCTGCACTTCTCTCTTTGTAGATTGACCCATTCATGGAAGAGTAAAGCCTGTTAAAAGCCTGACTGGACTCAACCATTGCTTAATGGACTTTATGATTAGTGACCACTCCTGCTTTCTTGAGACTTTATGCATTTCTAAGGACCTACTGATTGCTAAGGATTCAGTACCATACTTTTTTTTTGTCAATTCAGCAGAGAGTCTATCTGGCATGATGGCACCAACCTCTCTACCCCTGGGTAAGCTGTTCTCTGTCACAATTTTTGATTCATGTGTGTGTGTGTATACATATATTTATAAAATCTTCATTGATCTATTTAGTCTGAGATATTCAGGATCAGTGGACTTTTAGCCAGTGGCGACCTCAAGAGCAAATTTGGTAGATGTGTTTGTGTATACATGTATAACACAACAAAGATTTATGATAACAATATCACACACAACAAGAACAGTCTAGGTTATACATTATCAAGATAATACCAACATGATGAAAATGGTTAGTTATTATATGTTGGAAAACAGAAAAATATGGCAATTGTCCGGAAAAAGACCTTGTAACTTTTTTTCTGTATACCCACATGCCCAGCTCTGCAAGCTTGGTGATAGCACACAAAATCCCCACTAAAGGCTACTTACTGTGTAGCTACATACGTGCAGAAGAATACTCTGAGGCCTTTGAACACCACTAAAATCAAACCAAAAGCCATCTGTGGAACTCCAGATGCATATTCTCCCCTGGGGTATGGAAGGCAGAACGACAGAAGACAAATTCATTGAGTTTTATCATGTTCTGGTGGGGAAAGACCTCGCTGTCTCTAAAATAAGAGCTGGTCCTGGTCTGGATGATGCAATTTCGAACCTAACAATTTGCCAAGAATTTTGGAAGGGGTGAGATTTGAAAAAGGTAGGGTTTTACTGGAAAATGAGAGTAGAGACAAAGGCATATAATGCAACCTAGCACCTTTCTGAAGTGACCCTCAAAAGAAACACGGATTTAAGAATTTCTATCAAATCCATGGGATTTCTCTCTGTGTTTTTACTACAGTTCAAAGGCAAAAAGTTT